ACCAGACATAATCCGATAGCAAACCGATTTCTTTCTGTAGCTTCAAGCAGCTTTCTAGACAACGTCTCTTGTCTTCAATTCATATGACTCACAATTTCCTTGCTTTTGAATATATCTGGTTGTTTTTAAACATTGGCTGCCTTCGGAAGACTGTGAATAGTGTTTATGGTTCGGACTGTTACAGTATCCAATCACGTATAATTTGGGTTTCGTCGATTTCGTTTCGGTAGTTTTAATGTCAAAGTTGTACCACTCTCTGGAAGACCAGTTGTTGAAAATATCGATTAAATAGTTTCCCCCGCCTATAATTAACACTCTATGTCAAGGTCAATACAGTGGTTGAAGCATGAACACAAATATTTACACAAAACTAAAATTAAAAAAAGTTGACGTTGACACGTGCACCAAGCGCCTTGACGCGTCTTTAATAGAAAAAGACAAATTATTCACTGCGTGATCATCCGCCCATGTCGATTATGTGGTGTTTGGCGAGATTTAATGGTGTTTTAATTGTTCGGTGTGTGTTATTCTGTTCGCTTTGAAAGATTGCACCCTTAAGGGGTGCAGGGAGAAAAAAAAAATACATTTTAATTAGTTGCGAAGTGGTCTAACACAATTGCATATACATATGTATTTTAGGCTGGTATTTTATTGCCGATGTTCGATTGTATATTTTGTGCCATAAATGTCATTGATGCTTCTTGTCTAAATTTTAGTGGTAGTCATAGTAGACATGGCAATATATATGTACACTCGTAAGTATATTTGTTATAACTGCAAAAAATAGCAAAATCAAACCTTTTCGAAAATTAATAGTAGAGGTGAAAACGACATCTATATCCTCCTGGTTCCACCTTTTAGACAGCTCCCACTTTGGAACTTTTGCGTCTGAATTGTGTCGCTTTATCTAAGATTTTGGCGATATTTCAACTGTTTGATGTCATTTTTAAAGTATAGTATGATTTTATTTTAACAGGTTATATTTCCAGCGATCTTTTCTTGAGGTTTGTGATTCCATGCACACCTACTAATATCGACGTCATAACTTTTTGAGCGGTTTGCTCCATATTTTCTCCCTTTGGATTCGCTTCATTGCCCCAAGTCCATTTCACTGTCGACTAAAACTCTCGGGATTATTTTGCTTTACAACTTCAAACATTGCTCAGAATAATAATTCATGTTTAATGTTTCAATTGACTCAAAACGGGTTTCCCGGACCGGTCGCTTGAGTTTGCTGAATAGCCAGATGTCACACGGAGCTAAATTGGTCGAAATCGGTGGTTTTGCTACGATATTCTTTGAAAATATGTCGAAAATCTCACGAAGAATCAATGCGGTATGCGACGTTGCATTTTTATGGTGCAAACACCAAGAGTTGCCGGCCATAATTCCGGCCTCTTTTTATACTCTCACAACAAAGTTGCTAAAGAGAGTATTATAGTTTTGTTCACATAACGGTTGTTTGTAAGTCCTAAAACTAAAAGACTCAGATATAGGGTTATATATACCAAAGTGATCAGGGTGACGAGTAGAGTTGAAATCCGCATGTCTGTCTGTCCGTCCGTCCGTCCGTGCAAGCTGTAACTTGAGTAAAAATTGAGATATCATGATTAAATTTGGTACACGTATTTCTTGGCTCCATAAGAAGGTTAAGTTCGAAGATGGGCAAAATCGGCTTACTGCCACGCCCACAAAATGGCGGAAACCGAAAACCTATAAAGTGTCATAACTAAGACATAAATAAAGATATTAAAATGAAATTTGGCACAAAGGATCGCATTAGGGAGGGCATATTTGGACGTAATTGTTTTGGAAAAGTGGTCGTGGCCCCGCCCCCTACTAACTTTTTTGTACATATCTCGAAAACTACTATAGCTATGTCAACCAAACTGTATAGAGTCGTTTCTTTTAGGCATTTCCATATACAGTTTAAAAATGGAAGAAATCGGATAATAATCACGCCCACCTCCCATACAAAGGTTATGTTGAAAATCACTAAAAGTGCGTTAATCGACTAACAAAAAACGTCAGAAACACTAAATTTTACGGAAGAAATGTCAGAAGGAAGCTGCATCCAGGCTTTTTTTTTTTTTAAATTGGAAATGGGCGTGGCGTCGCCCACTTATGGACCAAAAACCATATCTCAGGGAGTACTCGACCGATTTCAAGGAAATTCGGTATATAATATTTTCTTAACACCCTGATGACATGTACCAAATATGGGTGAAATCGGTTCACAACCACACCTGAAATCTCGATTATCACTTTATCATGCGAGAGTATAAAATGTTCGGTGACACCCGAACTTAGCCCTTCCTTACTTGTTACAAATAGTTTCGCGCAAACGGCGCATAACACCCAAATAGTATTCCTTGTTTACAGTTTGGCCGATCGGAAGGAATTCCGAGTTCACCACACCTCGATAATCGAAGAAAACTGTCAATATAACTTTGATTTTGATCTGCTTTTTCGGCCACAAATTTTCGCCCGATTGATCGTCTGTTAAGCATAGATCTAAGCCTCATCGCTAGTAATAATACGTTTCATGACATCCGTCAGAAGTCGGAAGGCTTATTGACGTGTTGATTTGGCAAAGTTGTCGCTGACAGTCATACCAACGTACACATTATTTTTTTGACAAATGAGTTTTTGCGAAATTTAAATAAAAAAGCTTTACAATTTCCTGCTTACAGTAGTATCGGGTCTAAATATTCGGTATCGAGGGTCTTGAATTTTTTTTTTTTTGGATTTAAACAATTTTAAGTCAAAAGGCGGTACACACTAAAGAGAGTATTTGTGAAAAGTTTAATTCCTTTATATTAATTGCTTGTTGATTTCTGAACTGGAAACTGAACGAATCAAGTGGAATTTGCTATTTGGATATGGGAAGTAGGCGTGGTTGTTGTCCGATTTCGCCCATTTTGATACTGTGACCTAAGAATATGAAAGCGATGCTAGGTACCAGCTCCAATAAAGCTCTCTCATACCCTCTCAGTGGTAAATTTTGACTTTCACTGTATCCTTATGTGAGGAGTGAGCCTAGGTTATTCTCCGCTTTCATTCATTTTCGCACATTAAAGTTGTTAGACGCAGGGGATACGCCTATAGGTGCCTTCTGCTACTGCAATCCTCTGTACCAGATAACCATTTGATCTTGTTTTTATGTCAGAATTTAACGTTAACACATATAGCCATAGGAAGTGGTGGTAATTTTTTCTGCCAATAAATTTAATGTTCCCTTACATAAGCCAAAATCCAAAGCGACAATATTCCAGCTACTTAAATGTATTCAATTACGATAACTAATGTTTTGTTGTTTCATTCTCTGTTACAGATATTTCGAAGCACATTACATGCGCTCATTCAGAATGCCAGAGATTTAATGAAATTGTTATACTACTTAAATATCCAAGAACTGCCGAAAATACTTGCCAATCAAAATGTCTCTCAATCAGGGAAAATATAAGCCCAGCATATGCGCTATCGATGAGGTTGACGATCGCAGCCTAAAAAACGATGATCTCCAAAAGCAACAAACCGAGGGCAGTGAAACAGCGCCCTTGACCACCAACCAACAGAAATTGCACATTGAACCCAGCAATCGTACGGGGAAGGATGTTGAATCGCAGATAGATGATAACATTGGTGGCAATGGCAACAGCAAAACGGATGGACTCACCGGCGATGCTGATAACGCACCTGCCAATGGTTTTCGTGGTGAGTACTTACTTTAATTTTTTATTAAATTCATATTTATTACATTCTTGTCATTCACACCTTTGAATAATTAATTTTTCATTTTCATCTCTCATTTCATATTCACGCGCATTGCTTTGATGGCTCTCGCTATAGCCTTCCTACTTCCAGGTCGCCTTTCGCTGGACGCTCTAATGCAGCTGTCGCGCAAACGTCGTATACTTTACATAACGACCGTTTGCTTTTGTGCCTTACTCTTAGTCATAATCGTCATGTTGATTGCCTTCTGGCCGGATGTGCCGTTTTACTTCCGTGCCGAATTATGTCTGGAGAAGGAATGTGTACAGACCAGCCAACAGCTGTTGCTGTGGGCCAATATCTCCAAAAATCCTTGTCACAACACCTACGAATGGGCGTGTGGCAATTTTGAGCGTGAATATGCGGAAAATGATTACTACGTCATCAAGCGTGGTGAATGGAATTACAAGACCTACAATGAGTATGAAGGTAAGTCATGCGCTATTTAAATTTCATTGTTTCCTATTATATTTGATTTCTTTTCTATGTCGCTTTTAAGAGCTGAATGAACTCAACCGTTTCATATCAATGTTGCCATCGTCTGGCGCATCATATACAGTGGAGTCAATGATATCCAGCTTGTATAGATCGTGTCGTGAAATCGATACACTCGACAAGAGTCAATCGGATTTGCTGTTGAAGAAGGCGATCAAATCTGTGGGTGAGTGAAGAATTTTTTCTTTCATTTCGTTTTGGTTTAAGAAAAATTTAAAACGCTGACCGAGTTATTCGTTATAATTAATAGCAAAAAAACGATTGTGGAATGATTGTGGAATTTCTAATATTTGATATGTAATATGTATGAATAAGTATAACATACATTTTTCCAACACCTTTTAAGTATTGCTTTCGAACCGAGCAGCGCTACAAACTCCTGGGATATTGTTCAGATCGGATCACTAAAGCATATAGCTTCAATACAAACTGACTGGTCAGAATGAAATTCTTGTATGGGAAAACTTTTTTATTTGACAAAATATCTATATGAAGTTCGACACGGATGACACCGTTCAGATCGGACAAGACAGTGTTCTTTTTATACCCTCTATATTATGAGAAATGCACCTGTTAGGGGAATTATAGTTTCGGTACAGCTTGATAGCTTTTTTTAATTTTCTATTCTCCGCTGTGGAAATTCTACTTCTGCTATTTTAAGTAAGTAAGAGATAACTTTGATTTTTCGGTTTTTTTTTAAAACTTCAGTATAAAAAATATATTTGCGCGCTGGTTTTACAGTGAACACTCTAAATTATTGTGTAGAAGAGTTATTGCTTTTGTGGTATTGCGTTAATAAACAAAATTGACATAACAAACATTATAATTGAAAAATGCTACATAGCCTATCTTTACAAAACTTTGGAAGGTGGCAAGTAGGTGGATGATTTAGCACCATGTGAACTGCTTTGGCTAAGACCAAAGTTAGAGCTAGAAGCGCTAACCAAACCACCGCCGCTAATGCCTCCAATGCCAGCGCCGCTGCCAGAGCCATAGCTACCACCAACACCACCACCAATACCAGCGCCATTGCCACCAGCTTGTCCAGCACCGCCATCCAGAATGCCAACCACCGATTGTTGTTGGCCAATGCCGCCATCCGTGTGTTCGGAGGTACCTTCGATTCTGTCGTATTCGGCTGTGGAGAGTTAGGAAATTATTTAAATATTTGTTGTTCCTACACCTTTGCATATAATGCATTACCTTGAATTTGTTGTTGTGCGTGATGGGCTTCCTCTTCGGTTTTGTATTTGATAAAGAATACCTCTGGCTTGGCGGGCACGGTTGGTGCTGGTGTGGCAATGTCGTTGACTTCGAGTGATGAGTCCTTCTTGGACAGCACATAAATGACGGTCTTCTCCTCTTGTGGTGCATATTCAGCTGAGAGTTTGACATTAGCCGAGCTGGAGGATGGCGCTTTAATGAAGACGACACGGTAGTTCTTTTGTGGGCGTCCAATAACGAAATGTTTGCTCTTCTCTAGTGTTTCATGATCCTCAGGCGCTGAAACGGTGATGAATTGCTTATGCACGAGTGGGGCGTCAAAGACACCAGTTTGTTGTTGATGTCCATTGTAGCCACCAAATCCACCAGCGCCCGCGTTGAAACCACCACCAATACCGCTGCCGAAACCACCAGCGCTGTGACCAATTCCGCTGCCGAAGCCACCAGCGCTGTGACCAATGCTGCCACCACTGCCGAAACCACTGAAGCTTGGACCGTTGTGTGAGGCGCTGCCGAAGCCGCCAAAACTACTGCCACCGCCACTCAGGCCACCGAGTCCGCTCAGACCACCGCCAAAGCTGCTGCCACCGTGGTAAGCACCACCCTGTGCGTTACCGCCCGAAACACCAGCGCCATAATTGTATCCTTGTGGTTTGCCATTGGCGATTGTAACCAAAGCGCAGCAAAGTACCTACATTTTTTAAATGAAAACAGCGTTTATCTTCGTTTTGATTTTTGTGTAGTCCTGTGAAGTGTCGATGTCTTACCAAAAATAGACGCATTTTCTGACTTATCGTTCGTTTAGTTTAGTATCAACACAAAACCACTTGCTGTTGGTTGTTCACTGTTTAACTGATGTCTTAGCTACAGCTGATTGTGCTTTTATAAGCCAATATGATACGGACAGATCAGCTACTGGTTCCTCATTGTAATTCGTCTAACGGCTTTGGGGCATCCATCGCATCAAACGCAATCCAGTCATTGTTTTTTTTTTCAAATAATACTATAACGCCCAAAAAGTTAATAACTAAGAGTTTTTTTATGCATTAAAAACAAAAAAACATTTATCATTTTTTTGATTGGCTTTCTGATTAATTGTAGCTTAATTATGAGTAGTAATAAGCCGTTGGCGCGCATGCTCATTTAGCGCTTGAGTTTAACTTGTCATGAGTCAACAACATACATACATATGTACAACTGCACAACGCATCATTCATACCGACCTAGCATTCAATCGTAGGTATATATGTTTCTGAGCATGTGCAAACATGTTGTCGAATATTTTTCTTAATCACACTTCGGAAACCTAGCACGCCTCCTGCATTCTCTACTCCTCTTCTCGATAGACTGATCTCTTGTTGTTATTGTGTCCGCTAATCTTTGCATATTTAACGGTGCTTTCTGCAGAGGAACTTCGACAATTTAATTGTTAAAAAAAAAACTTATTAATTATGCTCACCTAATCGCCTAACAATCGGTCACATCCATAAATGAGCCGCAATGCATAATGCAGTGCCGCGAGCAGGGTGGACGTTGGGCGACACCAATAACATTCGCTACGGATTTCCAAGCGCTCGGTCTTATTGCAAGTATCACTGCTTTGACAGCGTTTTGTTTTAATCCGCCGTCACCTCAACAAATACGCACATAAATCAAAATGCCTTTGTCATAGATCATTATACCGCCTTTCAATCCATTGTGGTGTGGTGTCCACTTTGAAGTATGCAAATATGACATTGTACCGATTCGCGAATTGGCCAATTCATTAAGCGCTGCCAAAACGAGAATTTCGCCAATTTCATTGCGTCTGCGCGTTTGTCTGTTGTTGCCGGCTCACGGGAGTTGTCGCTTGAGCTGCGTTAGGTTTGATGAAATCACTTAAGTCTTTTTGTTTAACAGTCATTGGATTAGCGCTAGTCAGCTGCGGCTGCAAATGCAAAAATATTAATATTTTTTTTTGTAGGAAATACCGTTTAAAGGTTGCATGCACCCGTGTGTGATGAAACTGGTTCTCAAAATTTATTAGATAATTATTCCGTATCAACGCAAGTGCTTAAGCTATTTAAGTGGGTGCTTGAATGAAAAAGAAGTTATAATTGAAATGTGTCGCCTTAGATTAACATTACTCTTTCGTTAGATGCAGATGATAGGATGTTATCAAGTAATACATAAAACATTAAATTGCAACTTAATATAATAGGCTAGGTTCTTCTTTTTTATTGGCGTAGACAACGCGGTTATGGCCGAGCTTACAACAGCCGCCTAGTCGCTGTTTGGCGCCAATTGGAAATTTCAAGTGTAAGCAGGTCCTTCTCCATCTGGTCTTTCCAACAGAGTGGATATCTTCCTCTTCCATCGACTGCGGTATACGCCATTTCCAATACGCAAGGAACCATAAATATTCCACAGAAATTTCTCTCGAAAACTCGTGATGTCTACTCATCAGTTGTTGTCATCGTCCATGCCTTTGCACAATATAGTAGAACGGGAATGATGAGTGACTTGTAGAATTTCGTCTTTGTTCGTGGCGAGAGTACTTTACTTCTCAATTGTCTACTCAGTCCAATGTAGCACCCGTTGGTAAGAGTTATTCTGCGTTGGATTTCTGGACTGACGTTGTTATTGGTGTTAATGCTGGTTCCAAAATAGACGAAATTATCTGCGACTTCGAAGATATGACTAATGATATGGCTAATGATATAAATATCATCGGCATACGATAGCAGCTGTACACTCTTATAGAAGATTATACCTTCTCTATTCAGCTCTGCAGCTCAAACCGCACGATAGAGAGTCGCTGAAAATCTCGTTTTGTATCGAACGGCTCGGAGAGGTCCTTCCCGATCATGACTAAGCTTTAGGTATTGTTCAACGTTAGTTTTCGCAGCCGTATTAATTTTAAGGGGATACCAAATTCAGACAGCTCCTTTCCGTGCTGTTAAAAGCAGCTTTGAAATCGAAGACGATGTGGTGTGTGACCATCCTATTTTCAAGAGTTTTCTGAGTTTGGCCTAATCAGTTTGTTGTTTGGACTTTAAACTTTCACACAGTGCGGTAGATAGAACCTTATATGAGTATGCGATGTTGAAGAGGCTTATTCGACGGTAGTTGGCGAAGATTGTAGGGTCTCTCTTTTTGGGGATTGGGCTATGTACAATTAAATTGAAATCTTCGGGCATGCTTTCGTCTGATCATATTCTACAAAGAATCTGATGCTCCTTATCAGTTCTTCGCCGCCGTGTTTGCATAAGTCGGCCGGCAATCCTTCGGTCCCCGCCGTTTTGTTGTTCTTCCCTTCTTGTTGGGTAATTGCTATTCGGACTTCTTCATGGTCGGGCAATGGAACGTATGTTTCATCGTCATCGTTCACTGCCATTCAGTAGGCGGGGAAGTGTTCACTTCATAATTTTAGTATGCTGTGGGCTTCAGTCAAGAGATCACGTCGGCGTATCTTTTCGTAGATGCTTGTCAAGCTCTTCATACTCACGCATTTCGGCCTCTCTCTTTTTGTGTATGCAAATGCATCTCGCATCCCTCTTCAGTTATTTTTTTTTTCTTCATTTCTAAGTCTATGTAGCTATAATATGTTCAAGCCTTAAAACTGCTGCCCAAAAAATAAGGTGACATTGTATTTATTTTGAAAATTCTTTATTTATTCTTCCAAATCAATTTCATCCCATTCAAAGTAATCCCCATTAGATGTAGGTCATTATGCCAACGGATTTTCCAATCTTCGAAACACTGGTTGTAGTCTCAATTTCCGAGATGGCCGTCAGTTCCGTCTTCGCTGCGGCTTGAATATCGTATAAAAACGATGTCCCCGGAGCGGTCTTTTGAGCTTGGTGAACAGCCAGAAGTCGCACGGCACCAGATCAGGTGAATACGGTGGTTGCGGAACGATGTGGGTTGAGTTTTTGGCGAATTTTTTGCCCGTTTTTTGGCAAAGATCAAAATTTTTAAAAAATATTAAAAATCAAAATTTTTTAATAATCCTAGTTCCAACCATAGTGAGATATATAATGAAGGTCCACACCAAATTTCAAGTTAATCGGTTCATTAGAACTTTGGAAATCATGTCAGAAGTGTTGAAAATAGTAGTTTCGAGAAAAACGCGATTAAAGATGTGAGTCTAACTGCAGGCAGTCTATACTTACATTTCGTTAATAGACCAGAATACCCCCTTAATGCAAATTCTTTGCTCAACAAATTTCGATATCGCAAAAAACGAAAAACTCACTTTTAGTAGCTCACAAAACGACACGTACCTATCTCAAACACTAATGAATATTTTGACTTGAAATTTGATATAAATGTGACTGACAGTACTACCAACCTAAAAAAAAAAATAATTCTCCAAATCCTTCGACGCGCGCAGTTTAAATTCAGATGTCACCTTATTTTTTGGGCACATATTTTCTCTATTAATTTTTGTTGGGCATTTTTGCATTTGAAATCAAGCAAAGCTGCTTTTGTTGTTTCGGTTATTATTTTGATTATTTGAAGCGGATGCAAAAAAACCAATCTTCCTATTAATTAAACAGATATCTATTGCATCAATAACTAATCGCGCAAATGCGGAAATATTAATACATTTTGTTAAATAATTAATTATTTCACGTAATTTGGAAAAAAAAAAATGAGAAAAGTATATTGAGATGTATGTAAATATAAATGTGCAGCATATAAGAGCGTAGTTCTTTGAAATCTCTATAAGTGAACTAGCGTTACAAACAACAGAGATCTGCGAGACAATATGCACAATAATTTGGTTCCGGTTTTGATAATGAAATATTATATAAGAGGTTGCATTTCAATGATATGATAATCACTTTATTGCAAGATTAACATGGATATTGATTTTGTCCAAGGTATGACTACGTTACGAAAATATTTTTTCCTGAACAAACTCGCTAGGAAAGTTGTTTAGCCCATCAAGGCGACTAAGCATCATTATATTTAGGCTGTTCACGATAAGGTGGTTATCGGGTTATGTGGTTATGTGATTAAGTAAACAACAACAAAACGCGGTATGAGAAAATAACCAACTTTGACCAACCCAGACCTTTGTTTACAGATTATGTGGTTGTTTGCTTATTTCCAGTGTTAGAAAGTCGTTGGAGTTTTACTAAATGGCAGCACAAAAAAATAAATAAAACTAAGCCAATGGCATTTCCATTTGTATTTTCTAAATGGAAATTCTGCTATTAACAGCTGTTTTTTGTTTACAATTGCATTGTGACACTGTTCAGGGCGCAAGATATCTGCAAATTTTATACAAAGAATCTTTTGAACTCTTAAAATTCGGATTATTTAATAAGCACATACCTTCAATAAAGTCCATTTCCTGAATAACAGAACTTATTTTAAATTCAATTATGTTGCTTTTTAAACTTTGTTTAGGCATTTTATAAGTAGAAATTTCATTGAACTTAAAATGTAAACAATAAACAGCTGTTTGTGTAAAAATAAGCATATAACCATACAATATGGGATGTTCACGGATCATAGAGACTATTTTTAATCTAATAACCACATAACCCGATAACCACCTTACCGTGAACAGCCTAATTCTGAACAGGGTATATTATGTTTGCTACGAAGTTTGTAACACTCAGCAGCAAATATACCACATTTTAATATTTTTTTTCGTATGCTTATTAAAAATCTATAAGACGCTTAATAATTCAACATTTTCAATTTCTGGGTTATTTTTGGACATTTTCATATTTCAGTTGACTAACCTTTAAATTGCGTGCCTCTCATTTAATACTTCATTATTTGCCCTGTTTTCGTCTTCATTGTATGATGGTGTGAAATAATGAGATATTTTACTAAGTAGAAAAAGATAATATTAACTCATTATAAATTATTTAAGCAAAAAATTCTCATAACTCACGGTTTTTGTAACATCTATTCTGCAAGCTTCTCTTTTTTACGCACAAACTTGATTGAAATCATTTTACGAATGACAACAAGCAAAATTTCTTCACTGCTGGCTCTTCAACTCACCGAGTGCTTGTGACGATGAATGAGTTTAGTTCGAACGAACACTTAAACTGGAGCAACTCAAAACGAGTGTAGTTCCACAAAAGCTAATAACAGATAAACGAAATATACATAAGTGGACAATAGTAGACAAAAATTAAAAGTTGAGTGAAAATTAAAGCTTTTTGTTAGGGTGGTCGGATTTGAGATTTTTAATTAATATTTAATTTTGACTTTTACAGTAATCAGCTGGTAAGACAAAGTAAAATTACACTAAATTAATTTTATATAATAACATTATTTTATTTTTATTTATCAAATTATATTTAAAATATCAAAATTAAAGGAAAAGTAAATTATGACCTGAGTTTGGGAAGAGGAAGGGAAGTGGGGTTGTTTGCATTTTTTTCTAGTTGAAAATGGTTTAACTCAATTTCGACAAAACTGGGACTTCTATAGAAAAAAGTTATATCACAAACTTCTGAGAAATAAAAATATCTACGACTTTTGTATTAAAACCTATGTAATTCACATGGTACACAAAATGTGTGTGAAATAAAATATTAATTTTTTTTGGATTTTTTATTTTTGTCTTGATCAAAATAAATGTTATTTTAATTTTTTTTTAGTATTTGTTATGTTTTTTAAAAAACCTCGTTATAGTGCTACAAAAAAATAAATAAACTTGTTTAGAAAATGCCATATCCAGGGGTGTACATATTTATATTGGCTGAACATTTTTTTAACTAACTCTGTGTTCGGTTCCCAATAACGTACGGTAATATTTTTGTTTACCATGTTCAAGTTCACATTTCTTCATTGTAAATAAAAATAGACCAGGTGGCGTCACTTTGAGCCACCGAGTGGCATCTCCTCGCCCAAAAAAGGGAAGAATGAGCAAATCCAAAGTGAAAATGATGCTCATTGCCTTTTTGAACATCAAAAGCATCGTCCACTATGAATTTGTTCCTCCTGGATAAACCGTCAACGCCAAGTTGTACGAGGCAGTCCTCAGGAGACTCAAACCACAACACAGCCTTTCTTGTGAATAACTACCTAATCAAGACTGGCATCCCAACGCTTTCGCAACCGCCTTACAGCCCAGATGTGGCCCCCGGACTTTTTTGTTTCTTTGCTTGAAATGGACGATGAAAGCCAAGCATTTTGAGACGACAGAGGGGATTCAAGCTGCATGCACCTTGGCTCTCAAGTCTATTCCGGAGAATGCCCTCCGTAACGCCTTCAATGCTTGGAAACCGCGCTGGCAGAGCTGCATCGACGCAAAAGGAGCCTATTTTGAAAGTTTTTAAAGAATTGTAACGATTGGTTCAATAAATTTTTTTAAATCGACTCAGTCTTATTACTTTCCGGACAAACCCTGTTTCTGTCATTTCAGGTGATTTGAAAGGGCTTTGACTAGTAATTGTGCGAGTTTAGTCTACAGTAGCAGCGTGGTCGGAGTTGGGCCTCATTATCGTACTTGGGTAGTTAATGCCATCGTCTTTGTAGAGTGCAACTGAAAGTAGATGTTGACATATGAAGACCCTCCTAACTGTCAACCACAATCACCACAATCGTTTTCGCTTGACGTTCTCGCAAGTGGCAGACCATCACCACTAACCATCAGCAGTAGACATCCGCTTCAAAAATGTTTTTGCGATTTAGCAGCGATTCACAGATGGAAATTCGGACCATGCGGTTTTTTCTTATCTGGTCAATGGAAACATTGGTTACATGAGGGTCGGACTCTATGACTTCTAATATTTTAATGATATTTTCGATAAATTTTATTAATATTTGACAATTTTTGATGCATTTTCAAACAGAACTGAGTAAAGCCCTTACTTTCCTTTCTATCGCCTAAGAATGTAACGCGGGCGTAAGATACAGATTACTAAAGCCATTTGTTGGAAAAATAATAAGGGTACTCATTTAATATGGAATTTATGTAATAGTGGCAAATGGGTTTTCCTATTTTTTTTTTTTATAAGAAAATACACCCCAAGTCCAAATTCATGCCTAAAAATAGAACACCTTAATTTAAAAATATTTGTAAGTGATGTACATATCTGCAGCTGCATAGTAACAGCATTTCTTATAAGCGATCGAAATCAACGCATTAATATGCACTTACATACAGACACATTTATTTAAGATGACAAATCGCATGCGTCGCTTATGCCACCGGCCGCAACCGCAGGTCGCGGCATAAATTTTGACCATGTGTGATTTGTAATTCCTCGCCCAAATCTATAATTTATCTGGAAGTAATGTAAATTATGTCGAATGAATGCAGCCCTGCATATTTGGAATTTCTGAATTTTTTACACGGGTGCAAGCATGGGAATATACACACATATACCATATGTGGGTATGTTTGCTAGTGTTTATCTTCTATTGTCCATGCGTTTATTTTGGTAGCATTTCATTTGCATAAACATTGCAACACAACTCGAATGCACTGATATGCATCCACCTGTGTGTTTGTAAGCATTGCATTCCAACAAGTGCCGTTGTCGACGACCTTTAACTTGCAAATGTGTGTGTGTACATATTTGGGTTGATATTTTCAAACATTTCGTGTTCATTCGTTGTTTTTTTTTTTAAATTTGTCTTGTCTTGTTTTTAGTTTTTTATTTTTTCCTTATGCTTTTGCTGACTCATTTACGTTTAGCGCCTACATTGCTTCCCATAAGTGGTCGTTTAACTAATGATGCTTGTTGTTATTGTTGCCCTTATGATTTATGCGCCATTTGTACTTGAGCCAATCTACATAGGTGGCCTAACAAACGACTTTTGTCGTCCCCACTGGTCCAACTGTCCAACGCGAATCGAGTAATCAACCAACTAATCAGCCAAACTAACAACCAATCCGTGCACGGCACCGACCGCTACGCAACCAATGGCCGGTGCTATTAATCGCTGCCTTATTAAGTATAATACGCACACAAGTTTTTTGGGGTAGACATATTACATACATTCGCACGCATAGCTTAGTGATATCTTTATTGTGGGTTTTACTCGCATAAATTGCTAATAATTTCATGGACTTAATTAAGCATGGAGAATTTGTTAAGTGCGACTTGTCTGCACTCAACGTGATGCGGCGGCTTTGATTGGGATCGTATACAGTATTGGCCAAAAATTAAGCATCCCTTGAGAGCGTTTTTATCCCCTTCAAAATATTTAATTATGCAATAACATAATTATCAATAAATATTTTGTCGTCTTTAAAGTAATCCTCACCTTTTATACCAACAATTTTTACAGTTCTCGAAACAATTTTCGTACTTTGACTTTGCATTGGCTTGTTTTGATTTAGGTATCATTTTTCCCTACATTCCGATGATTGTTGACTTGTTTCCATGTCAGGCCCATAAACCTATGTGCTACTGGCAGTTATAATGTTATCCATGAATGTGGGATCGATACCTTTTTTTGGCCAAAATTCACCTTTATCGGAACGAGTCGAACAAGAAAGCGTTTCATACACAAAATATCCATCACACTCATTCGAACGGACTCGCGAGAGATGTCGAGCTCTTTTGCCATCTCTCTAAAACTTGTCTGACGATTTCCAAGCACTGTATTATTCACTTTTTCGAAGGTCGCCCTGAACGATGCATGTTTTCAACGATCTTTTTTTGATGGCATTGTACCACTTGTAGGCTTGTGGTATTGATAAAACTGAATCACCGTTAGTCTTTTCCAATCATTCGCTGCGATTCCGCTCACGAAATTTGGTTAGAAATACAAGAGTTTCGACAAATTCTTTGTTCAATATTTTTATTCATTTTCATGTGGAACCCACAGTCTCATAAAGTTATGTTATAACGATCCAAACATAGCGTTCAGGGTTGTATTTGTGTAAACTTATTTTAGTACGCAATCCAACCACAAATTTTTTAAACTACTATACAAATTCATGATTTTATGATTTTAAGATGTTTTATGTCACATTTAGGGTATTTATAACCTGTCTTAAATCGTAAAGTCGTAAAATTTTAAATTTTTACACTTGTTTAAAAAAAAATTGTTGTTGGATTACATACAAAAATGAGTTTACACATTTACGATTCTCAATACTATGTTTTCGAATCGTTATAACTTCAAGACAGGTTGTGAACGCAACAATTGTGAGTACCCCAATTGTAAAAATCACTAGCAGCTGTTCACAAACTGGTTGACAGATTTGGCATAATTATTAGTAACAGTTCTATCAACTTAGTAAAATACATCTTTTGAGATATGTATTATTTACCCGGAGAATTAAATTACAATTTCCCGGTGCTTTTGTGTCACAATATATATTGATCTGATTATTACGAGCTTTTCTCCCCAAAACTACTCATTGGATGGAAACACCGATATAGGATGCCATAAAATTGATACATTTTTCTTCCTTATAAAGTAATCTTAATTCGACTTGATGGTATTTTATATAAAACAACACGGCTAGTAAGAACTAAACGTTTTCTGGTGGAACTAAATATACCTGTGTGGGATATTATAGCGTCGATGCGGCTAGAGTCAACCTTTGTTTTTTTTTTATTAATTTAATACTAAAGAAAATGAGACTTAAACTATCTAAAATTAAAAAGAATTGCTAAATTTCGATAAATATTTAAATTGAATTTAAAAAATATTTGAATTTTGGTAAATACTGTATTTGTACATATTTCATTATACATAAACCTTTAAATATTTACTTATAAGCTCCTTTTTAATAATGCTAATATTTATGTTTGCATTTTATGTATAATTTAAAATACCACCATTTAACGTTAAATCGGCGTATATATAGTATACATATTATGCGAGTGCTGTCACAATTCGTTTGGACCGTCATATTTTGCCAATTTTGATATTTTGGCGTCGGCGTCGGCGTCGGCGTCGGCATTTGTAAAGTGATGATACAAAAATACATATGCATTTTATCTATTGCATTAAACGCTCTGCATGATTTCGTAGCGTTTCTTTCAATCTTTTACAATGTTTTATGATATAATTTA